TTTTTTTTTTTGTATGAATTATTTTGCTGAATAGATTTTTTCTTTAGTAAAGCATAAAAGCATGAGAATTAGCATAAAAGCTTTGCTTCATTTGAGTGTCATTTGAATTAACAATTGGCCAAGGATCCAGTGATTGGCCAAGAATCCAGTTTTGGTCCTATATTAGTTGATGAAGCATGAATCAAGTTAGAATTAGAAGTAGAGTAGGTTCAGAAATTTAGATTTCTTTTCACTTTTTGACATGCAACTTCCTGATTTAAATTTGCCAATATGTTAACAATAGATCTGACACATTTTAATATTATAGACAATCATTCTAAAGAGGTTTGTTCTGAAAGATAGGACCACTGTCAGCTTATGGATGGCAATTTTTTTATTAAATATCTAATGGAATGTATAATCTATTACTGCCAGCTTTGGGCTGTGAATGCACTGTTTCTGTTCTATCATTTTATGACAATACTCACACTGTTCCTTATCTGCATGTTTGATGTACAATGTGCATCATTTATTCAGCATTCACTATAATTCTTTATTCTTCTCACAGTCATCATCTCTATACAATGAACCTCTGGCAACAACTAAGAATTACAGGGTTAGTAAAATATAACATGATAGACAATGTTTAGGTATTGCAATATTCATGTATACAGGAAATCTAAAAAAAGTACTCTGTTCTATAGGCTTCCCCAGATGTAAACACTGGTTTGATAAGAAGTACCAGTTTGGTTCGTATGTAGATCTGCATGTGACTTTAGCCTGCTTTCTGAGCATACTGTTCCCTGAGAGCATTGTGTATCATTATTTTGTAAATGTTTAGGTTAAGTTTGCAAAAATATAAGAATGGAGAATATCAGAAAACTATTTTGAGAAGACACAAACTGTATGTAAACTGTGGGCTCTTAAAACTGTAGGGATTTTCTTAAATGAAGACATACTAAGTGGTTGGTTGCTTGGTTGTCTTTGAAACCGCGCTGTAAGAATGAAAATATGTGGACTAACTAAGCTTTTCTTTTGTAGTAAATGGTTTTGACTTGGAATTTTAAAATACAATAAATTGCTAAGTTTGCAAGATTCTTAATATTTTGTTGGAAAAATTCTTTGAATAACAAGATGATAATTTTATCTATAAAAATCAATAAGCACAGTGAATGTGGTTGCTGCAAAATATAAAATATTCTAAGGATTGTTTAAGAGATAGGACAAGCTATATTATAATCATGAACCCTTTTGTTGTTGTTGTTGAGAGCTAAATTACCAGTACAGGTAGTCCTTGAATTATATCCATTTATTTAGTGACTGTTCAAAGTTGCACTAAAAAAATTGACTTATGACTGTTTTTCACACTTATGATCTTTACAACATCCTCATAGTCATGATGAAAATTCAGATGCTTGGCAATTGGCATGTATTTATGCCGCTTGCAGTGTCATGGGGTCATTGATCACCTTTTGCAACCTTTGACCAGCCATCAATAGAGAAGCCAGATTCACTTAACAGCCATGTTACTAACTTAACAACTGCAGTGATTCATTTAAGAACTTTGTCAAGAAAGATCATAAAATGGGAACAAAACTCACTTAACAACCTTCTCAGAAACAGAATTTTTGGGCTTAATTGTGATTGTAATTTGTGTCTGCATGCTGGTAGTGCATTTAAAAAAACCCTAAAAGACTCTTTTTCTGTTTTTATAAGACCTAAACTACTTATATCATAACTCCTACCCCATCAATATGTCCGTTTACCTGTTTAAGTTGCCCTTCCCCCTTTCCGTTTCACTGTTCTCAGCTAAATGAAATAAGAGGCATTAGGTTGTATAGCTGTTCATCCATGTTGTATCAGAAAGTACTTACAGGTTTATTCTGTACTTTTATATAACAACAAACACTATTTTCTTTGTTCTCTAGGCATCATTATATGATGATGGATTGTATAAATCGTATAGTAATCGTACTGTAAGTCTATAGGAACTTCATTTTACAAGTTTGGCATGTGTATGTGAAAATAAACAGCTGAAAAAGTATTTCACAACATTTGTTTTTTAGCCCTCAGAATATAGTTATTCAAGAGCAAGTTCAGCACGAAGTAGTCCAGTGGTGAGATGTCTCTGCATGTCTTAAAGCCTTCTATTTTTATGGATAACTCTGATATTAAATAGATATAGAATATTAATTTGCATTATTTACGATAATGTAAATGTAGAGTTGTTGGCTGTCATTCTGGGAATCTCTACTTCTTCAATTATATACTTTTGGAAGAAGAATATTAATTATTTTTAGCAAGAAATGTAAACTATAGTTGAAAGAATGTAATATTCTAAAATCATTTTTAAAATTTTATATTTAACAAATATTGAAATTTTGCATGCTTATCATATTGTATTTGTTCTGTAGCTAATGATAAGCAGAGAGAGTACTTAAGGTTTTCAATTAAATCTTCCTTTCATATTCACGTTCTAATTTTAAATGGCCATTGTATCAGGAACTGATGTAATACAATTTCCACCACTACTGCATTTAATAAAAGCTCAGTTGTTCACTATCACAAGTTAACACTATGAATGTAATTTGATCCTATGATAACAGATAGCTTTCTTTACCCAGGGTCAGAATGGGGAAACTTTGATGATCAAGGATTACATTTCATGTTTTCAGAGGAAGGAAAGTTGTTGTGAATAAGTTCAATGTTGCCAGGATTGTATGTATTTGTTTAGGATCCGGAGTTTGCAAAAATAGATTCAGGGATCCAAAATTGTCCATCTATCCATAAAGCAGGGGTGTCAAATTCAATTTCATTGAGAGCCGCATCAGCATTGCGGTTGCCCTTGGGGGGGTGAGTGGGTGTGGCCAGAGTGGGTGCAGCCTACTAGGTGGGCGTGGCCAGTTCTACATCATTCACGTCAAGGGTGCCTGTGAGGGCCTGGGCAGGAGTGGGACAGATCTGAGGGTCTCTGGCAGAAGGGGGTGGGACCGGGGCAAGTGCGAAGGCATGGTCCACCGGGGCAAGTGCCAAAATGGCCACCACAAAATTGTACATTGGCTCCCGGCTGGCCTGGGTGAGGGCCAAGGCAGTGGGGGCCGTTCTCTCACGGTTTCCAGGCTTGCTTCACGGGCCACATGAAACTACTTCATAGGCCGCATCGGCCCCCGGGCCTTGTGTTTGACATGTCTGCCATAGAGTATAATAAAGACCTATTTTCTATGCTACTTAATGGAAGAGCTGAGAGGTTTTGTATTCTATCTTGCCAGGCAGAATTAAAATATACCAAGTTGGTTGTTGATTATTTGTAATCTCACATAGAGTCACCCAGTTAGAAAAAACAGCGTGAGCATAACTAAGAAAACTTTTTGAAGATGGGACTATGTAGACAGCAGTGATTTAATTAAGCCAATTATGTCTTCAAATTAGTCAATTATTTTGCATAAATACTAGTTTGAAACATTGTTAAGACACTGAAGTGAAAAGTTGCAGGTTATCTTCTCTCTGTGCAGCCTACCTCTCATACCAGAATCCAGCATCACAAAGGTATTTCTTCACAATACTGCTCTGGTTTATTTATTATCCAGTTAAGTCCTTAACATTGTAGAAAGTTCTTAATATTGATTTATATAAATATGTACTGTGTATAATAGCAACCTAGTTAATTATTTATTTCCAACTCTTATAGTTTACAGATGATGAATCAGGCAGCATTGCATCCTCTGACCATGCTGTACGAGGTTATAGGGATAGTGTGGTGAGCAATGTTGCATGATTGATATAGGTCTGCTGTGTTCTAATTTTGTCAATTCATAACGTGTGAAATTTTACAGTTCCTAATCTTGATATGTATAATAGATATTCCTATTTGTATTGGATATACTCATTAGCTTAAAAGTATTTTAGTTTATAACCCCTCAAGGTAGAATTGCACTACTTTTAAAATACTCTTATTTTTTTATCCTTAACATGTTTATTAAATTATCTCCTAGCTTATGTCCTAACTTAATGTTGATAGTATTATTTTAAGTGTGTAAAATGAGAACAATTATACATATATAATAAATGTATATGCATAAATGTATTAATATATAGTCATTGCATGTGAAAGGATAAAACAATAAAGGAAATGAATTCTTGATTCCTTTAGAATTAACAGCTATACTATTACAACTATAATATTTTCAAATATTAAAAAACCCTCCTTTCATATTAAAGTACAAGCAATCATATCCAAATTCATTTATATAGATTATGTATTAACATTTATATATTTCTAAACAACAATGTCCATAATATGTAATTTGCAATGTATTTTATATTTATTATCTAATAAACTAATAGATTCAGATTAGGCTTTAGAAGGAATAAGTTGCTTAAAAGCCCTCAGTGTTAGATAAATTCAGTGTAGTTGAGTTCCAAATCTAATAATGACTACAAAGATATTCTACACCTTACTAAATGGACTATTTCTTTCTTTTTTTAAAAAAAAAAGTCTCTCCATTTATTTCACTTTCAAGTAGTTTTTACAAGTCTTATAAATGCCTAAATGCCTCATAACGTTTTTTAAAGATTGTGAAATGTAAAGGAGATTATATTTTTAATAATGAATAACTTCTTTTTAATCATTGAATTATACATAACAGATAGAAACTTGCCAGGCTAAACCTTTATGACTCTCAGTTTAACAGATATACTCTGGGAGATTCTAGGGAGTGACTATCCTTACATTCTTCCTCTGATTCCATCCTCAGGCTGTGCTGTCTCTTAGGTCTCCCCTACCTCCCTTCTCAAATGTGTCCCTCCTTCCTGGGAAACTGCATTTCACTTTGGTCTATCAAATCAGCTCCCCCCCTCAGCACCCTCTTTTATACCATGATCCAATATAATGCAAACTTATATTCATTTAAGAGTTCTGCTTTGTACATGTGTAATGTGCTTGTTTGTAAAATTTAACACTGGCTATTGATTTGTATAAAACAAGATTTTTGTATTTTCTATGGGTAACATGTCTGTTCCTTTGTACTAGAATCCAACTTTAATCTAGAACAGTTAAAATAACAGTAGATTGTCTTAATGTTTTAATTGAGAATCAAACCTTCATTTATTCTTCTAATGACTGAATTTGTAAGTCAACTTCCAATTCTAGATACTTCAGAGTCCAAATTTGGACATAACATTAAGCATTTTTTGCTAATAATTTGTGAAATAAGAAACAATTATTGTGAGGGATTTTGAAGAATAAGTATATTAAATTTTTAGAATACTCTAGGCATGTAATTTATTCCAGTTTAATTAGCCTGGCCTTGCCTTGTTAACAAAAAAATGGATATGTTTTTCAGCTTTAATTTTAAAAATGGATCTGAATATGCAGTGTCTTTTGAGTTATTTCCATAGTGAGGGAAGTATTTTAAAGATCAATAGAGAAGAGAGAGTAATCTGTATACTAGCCCTATACTAAGAAAAGATGTGGGAGAAAATTATGTAATAGGACAGTTATATACAGGAGCATGTTTAGAGATCTGATCACAAAGAAATGATAAAACCAACTAATATTTAGGAAGATTGATGTTTTGGATATTTTAACCACATTTTTTAACAGAATGAGGTTAGAAATATATAATAGCATTATTGCTTTACATATTAAAACTATGTAAATGTGATTGAATTGAAAAACACTACCAGATTCTGCAATTTTTGTTAGACTTATGTGGCTTTGAAAATCCATAGTTTTGTTGTGAAACTATTAATAGTAGCCTTAATATTTTAAAATCAAGATTAAGAGAGACCTCATTATTCAAAGGAAACTCTCAAAACAATTTTGATTAAGAGAAAAGAATAGCATGAACAAATTATATATATTTTTTGTTTCTGATTTTTTTTCCTATCATTTTCTTGCCATCTGTTTTGTTTGTTGTTTGTTTTGATTACTGAAGTCAAGTGATTTTCATCATCATGGGGAAACTGCAGCTGATTATTTTAGCCGCACTAATCGTAGGGGAAGCATTGTTTCTGACTTGGATGATGTCAGCATTCCAGACATGAACAATGTGAGTGTATTTAACATAAAGTTGATGACATTGCTGCAAGTTTTTCTTGGTAAATGTGTTAATATTTTTCTATTGTTTGTTAGTTTCATTAATGGCAATAATGTTAATTTATTATCTTGCATATACTTTTATATTTATATTTTAAGTTCACTATTATGATTGGAGTCTTATATTTTGTATGATTTTAAAAATTACATTTGGGGATTAGGTAAAGTGGATATGATCTAATCATAATACTTATTTGTATTTGAGTTAAATATGCGTATGGCTCTATGACGTTTACATTAAAATATATTGATGGTATGTCATTTTAATACATTTGATTACATCTCAAATATTTTTACATTTAGGTAAAAAAGTTCTTGAGTTTTTCAAAAATTTTGTTGTTTGTTGCGAAGTCATGTCCGACCCATCGCGACCCCATGGACAATGTTCCTCCAGGCCTTCCTGTCCTCTACCATCTTCTGGAGTCCATTTAAGCTCACGCCTACTGCTTCAGTGACTCCATCCAGCCACCTCATTCTCTGTCATTCCCTTCTTCTATTGCCCTCAATCTTTCCCAGCATTAGGCTCTTCTCCAGTGAGTCCTTCCTTCTCATTAGATGGCCAAAGTATTTGAGTTTCAACTTTAGGATCTGGCCTTCTAAAGAGCAGTCAGGGTTGATCTCCTCTAGGACTGACCGGTTTGATCACCTTGCAGTCCAGGGGACTCGCAGGAGTCTTCTCCAGCACCATAGTTCAAAGGCCTTAATTCTTTTGCGCTCAGCCTTTCTTATGGTCCAGCATTCACAGCCATACATTGCAACTGGGAAAGCTATCGCCTTGACTATATGTACTTTTATTGGCAGGGTGATGTCTCTGCTTTTTAGTATGCTGTCTAGATTTGCCTTAGCTTTCCTCCCCAGGAGCAAGCATCTTTTAATTTCTTGGCTGCAATCCCCATCTGTGGTGATCTTGAAGCCTAGGAAGATAAAATCTGTCACTACCTCCATTTCTTCCCCATCTATTTGTCAGGAATTGAGAGGGCCAGATGCCATGATCTTGGTTTTCTTAATGTTGAGTTTCAAGCCAACTTTTGCACTCTCCTTCTTCACCCGCATCAAGAGGCTCTTTAGTTCCTCTTCACTTTCTGCCATTAGAGTGGTATCATCTGCATATCTTAGGTTGTTGATATTTCTCCCGGCAATCTTAATTCCAATTTGATTCATCTAGCCCGGCCTTTCTCATGATGTGCTCTGCATATAAGTTAAATAGGCAGGGCAACAGAATACAGCCTTGCCGAACTCCTTTCCCAATTTTGAACCAATCAATGGTTCCGTGTCCAGTTCTCATTGTTGCTCCTTGGTCCGCATATAGGTTTCTCAAGAGACAAATAAGATGGTCTGGTACTCCCATCACCTTAAGAACTTGCCACAATTTGTTGTGATCCACACAATCAAAGGCTTTAGCATAGTCAATGAAGCAGAAGTAGATGTTTTTCTGGAACTCTCTAGCTTTCTCCATGATCCAGCGTATGTTGGCAATTTGATTTCTAGTTCCTCTGCCTCTTCGAAATCCTGCCTGTACTTCTAGAAGTTCTCAATCCACATACTGCTAGAGTCTAGCTTGTAGGATTTTAAGCATAACTTTACTTGCATGTGAAATGAGTGCAATGGTGCGATAGTTTGAACATTCTTTGGCATTGCCTTTCTTTGGAATTGGAATGTAAACTGACCTTTTCCAACCCTGTGGCCACTGTTGAGTTTTCCAAATTTGCTGGCTAATTGAGTGTAGCACTTTTACTGCATAGTCTTTTAAGATTTTGAATAGCTCAGCTGGAATACTGTCACTTCCACTAGCTTTGTTGTTGCTCAGCTTTCCTAAGGCCCATTTCACTTCACATTCTAGGATGTCTGGCTTGAGGTCAGTGACCACCCCATCGTGGTTATCAGGGATGTTAAGCTCATTTTTGTATAGTTCTTCTGTGTAATTTTGCCACCTCTTCTTAATCTCTTCTGCCTCTGTTAGGTCCCTGCCATTTTGTTCCTTTATCATGCCCATATTTGCATGAAACGTTCCCTTCATATCTCCAATTTTCTTGAAGAGATCTCTGGTTCTCCCTATTCTATTGTTTTCTTCTATTTCCTTGTACTGTTCATTTAAGAAGGCATGCTTATCTCTTCTAGTTATTCTCTGGAATTCTGCATTCAGTTGGGTATATCTTTCTCTTTGTCCCTTGCCTTTCGCTTCCCTTCTTTCCTCAGCTATTTGCAAAGCTTCCTCAGACAGCCATTTTGCTTTCTTGCATTTCTTTTTCTTTGGGATAGTTTTAGTTGCTACCTCTTGTACAATGTTGCAAACCTCCGTCCATAGTTCTTCAGGCACTCTGTCTATCAGATCTAATTCCTTAAATCTATTTGTCACCTCTACTATATATTCATCAGGGATATGATTTAGTTCATACCTGAGTGGCCTAGTGTTTTTCCCTACTTTCTTCAATTTAAGCCTAAATTTTGCAATGAGAAGCTCATGATCTGAGCCATAATCAGCTCCTGGTCTTGTTTTTATTGATTGTATAGAGCTTCTCCATCTTTGGCTGCAGAGCACATGGTCAATCTGATTTCTGTGTTGACCGTTTGGTGATGTCCATGTGTAGAGCCGTCTCTTGGGTTGTTGGAAAAGAGTGTTTGCTGTGACCATCGTATTCTCTTGACAAAATTCTATCAGCCTGTGCCCTGCTTCATTTTGTACTCCAAGGCCAAACTTGCCTGTTATTCCAGTTATCTTTTGGCTTCCTACTTTAGCATTCCAATCCCCCATAATGATAAGGACATCATTTTTTGGTGTTGATTCTATAAGGTGCTGTAGGGCTTCATAAAACTGGTCAATTTCATCCTCTTCAGCACCAGTGGTTGGGGCATAGTCTTGCACTACTGTGATATTGAATGGTTTGCCTTGGATTCGCACTGAGATCATTCTGTCATTCGGGGGATTGTATCCCAGTATTGCTTTTCCTACTCTTTTATTGACTATGAAGGCTACTCCATTTCTTCTGAGACATTCTTGCCCGCAGTAGTATACCTGATGGTCCTCTGAATTAAATTCACCCATTCCTGTCCATTTTAGTTTGCTGATTCGTAAGATGTCGATGTTCAGTCTTGTCATCTCTTGTTTGACCACGTCCAATTTGCCTTGATTCATGGATCTTACATTCCATGTTCCTATGGATAAAAGATCTTTACAGCAGTGGACTTTCCTTTCACCACTAGATGCATCCACAGCTGAGCATTCTTTCGGCTTTGGCCCAGTTGCTTCATTCTTTCTGGCGCTACTAGTACTAGTCCTCTGCTCTTCCCCAGTAGCATATTGGACACCTTCTTACCTGAGGTGCTCAACTTCCAGTGTCATATCTTTTTGCCTTTTGGTACTGTCCATGGGGTTTTCATGGCAAAGATACTGGAGTGGGTTGCCATTTCCTTCTCCAGTGGATCACATTTTGACAGAACTCTCTGCTGTCCATCTTGGGTGGCCCTGCATGGCATAGCTCATGGCTTCATTGAGTTATGCAAGCCCCTTCGCCACGACAAGGCAGTAATCCATGGAGGAGTTTCAAAAATTATAAACTAAATTTACTTACATAGCTTCATATTCTGATGCCATTGATGGCTATTAGAATGTTTTGTAATATTTATTACCTGCTGTATTCATAGTTGGATGAAATGAATGAATGAAATGAAATGTTTTTCACTTCCCTTACCAACTTATCTTAAAGTTCCTGCTACCAAAAAAACCACATTTTTTTTGTATCTCAGAGAACTAAAAATAATTAAATTGTTAATCTGATGTCTGCAAACTTGAATTTCTACTTGGCAAATATTATTATATTTGATAACACAGACTTTTTATGAAGGAAGTGCTGCAGGGAGAAAGGTTAAATTATATTATAATAAACTTTGAATAAAAGTGGATTTTGAGAAAAATGGATATGGAAAGAAATGAAGTCAAAGTGAATGTAGAATCACTGCAAAAATGTAAAAGGTATGAGACTTGTGTGAAAAAAAATTAGATTACTCTTCCAATTTAATGAATAGAAAGAGGATACAGTGGACGTTATATGAAACAGAGTTAAGTGAAACATTTGCAAGGAAAAAAACAAAGTCCAGTTACTTTTTGAAAAAGCACTTTTGGGGCAACCATGATCTCGATGATTGAAAATCTCCATACATATCTTCCCAGCTGATTGGAATTATCCCCCAAGAAATCAGAGGAAGATCAAGATAAAAAAGAAAAGAACTTTGCAGGATCCAATTTGGGTCATTCACCAGGACTAGAGATTTAGTCTTCTGGGCTTTCAGACTTGTCCTGGAGCCCATCCTTAGGGAATTTCTCTCTACCAGAATATGTGCTGGGCTGTTCTATGCATTGTATTTATGTGGGTCCTGTTTAGATATGACTTCCTATTGGTTGATCCGGGCATGTGGCTCCTGACGAGATCATGGTTTCCTTTGATGTAGTGTCCCTATTTATATCCATCCCTCCTCACTTAGCATATGAAGTAAAATATAAAAAAACTAAAAAAAGAGTATGACACAGATCAGAACAACCTAACCAGGACACAAATCATGAAGCTACTTCAGTAGTGCCAATATACCTTCTTCACTTCAAAACGGAAATATATGAGCAAATAAAAGGGATGCTCATGGGATCCCCAATATCAGGAGTCATTGCAGAAACTGCCTTGCATGAACTAGAATACTGCATTTCAAAACTACAGACCTAAATTTTGGGGCCACCATGTGAATGACACATTGGTCATCAGAAGAAGAAATGCAGTGAAAGACTTTCATACCCTACTAAGCTCTATCCTCCCAGACATACAATTCACAGTGGAGGAAGAAACAGCTACGCAATTATCATTTTTAGATGTGCTTGTCAACAGGCAAGAAGATGGAAACCTAGAAATCACGGTTTATCACGAGACCACCAATATTCCATACATTGTTGGTTTCAACAGTAACTATCCACTGTCACACAAAAGAGTTGCATCAGAACACTCTGTGGCAAAGTGAGAACCCACTGTGGTACCTTGCAAGCTAAATAACTGGAGTGAAGGTACCTATGTGAACAATTCAGGCAGAATGGGTACCCACAAAATGCCTATGCAACACTTAAAGAACAGAAATGAACAAAGAAGGTATAAGACCAACTATAGGGCACACCTTGCCATACATCAAAAACATTTTGGAAGTAGAAGAACACAGCTTCTGAAATCTGAAAGTGGGCATTGAACACCGCCCAGAGGCTACCATACAAGGAGAAATCATGCATTGCAAAGATTGCTTGGAAGTGGGAGATACTTCTAATGTAATCTACTGATCCCCCTACATGGATTGCCCCTGTGACTACTTAGGACATACAGGGAAGAAGCTAATCACCAGATTGCAAGAACACAAGCAAAGCAGTCTGAGGGTGGGGCTCCATTAGCAGCATTGACTCTTCCACCCCAAAGACCGTCCCATAGCCTCTCGCTGTTCTCTTCTCAGCTTCCTCTGCACTCGCGCATCAATCACTGGCCCCATGTGATTTTCCTCTCCTGACTCACTTGTCTCAAGCATGGAGGTCTCAGCCTTTCCATCTGAGGGCTGGCGGCAGCCCAGGCTCCACCTCTGTCCCTGGTTGCGACAGTTCCATTCCTTCGTCAGAGCTTTCAGATGGCCCTGACGCTGGGCCCGGCGCCCATTCCTGTGCTTCCTTCTCTGGGCTGTTGAGTTCTCCGGTGGCCGACAGGCCACAACAATTGGTAGCTTCACATTGCAATGAATAAGGACATACATTCAATTTCGCAGCTACTAAGATTGTTGAATAAGCAGGTACAAAGATAGCCATGGAAATTATTGAAGCCTGGGAAATGGATCCCTTGTCAGTCCACAGGAGTGCTGATTTACCACCAGCTTATCAGGTACTTAGGAGCCGAGGACTTAGCAGCATAAGGAAACAACAGCCAATATCTGGCCATCGACACATCGATCAACCAATAGGTAGTCACGGCTAACTAGGCACCGCATAAATACAAAACATAGAATAGCCCAAAGTACATATTCTGATAGAAGTTCCCTGAGGATGGGTTCCACCACGAGTCCAAAAACTCAGAAGACTAAACCTCTGGTCCCAGTGAATGACTCAGATTGGATCTTGCAACATTATCCTGAGCACATATATTTGCCTTCATTCGTAAAAGAACTTTATTTTGGAATTTGAGTTATTGTTAAAAAATAAGTAATTGGTTTAGCTAGAAGCTGCATTAACTTTTAACTTTTATCTGTTACTTAAGGGTACTTCTGTATGTAGAAACTATTGGGATGTTGACTGAGGACTCAAAGGATTTGCAACAAATATTAGATTTTATGATGCAGTATGGAGCTGAAAATTAATGTATCGACAGTCAAAATAGACGTTCTTGACATAAAAAATAAATTACATGTTTATAACTTATATATAAATGTCAAATAACTAATTTGACATTTATATATGTCAAATACAATTTGACATTCTATATAAAAGTCAAATAGTATAGTTTGGTAGAATCTATATTAAAGATAGGGAAATGGATGATAAGATTTAAAAAGTACACAGGGTGATAGAAGGGCAGTAGCATGTTGTCTATGGGATCGAATCCTATCTTTTTATTATTTACCCTCCCATCATTTTCTTAATCTTTCAACTATCTATTACATTATGCTCTCAAAAGAAGCAAAAATGATTATGTAGAGATGGGTACTTATAAAAATGAGAATTGAGTATGTCAAGAGAAACAAATATATAGAAAAAAAGGGAGAGAGGAAAAATGCAGTTGAGGAGAGAAGTTTAAAGAGCCAAGAAATTATACATGGATCTGTTTGGAGTGAGGTTGGTTTGAAGCGGTGGTGGGATTAAGCTGGTTCGCACCACTTTGGCAGAACTGGTAGCTATTTTTTTGTTGCCCAGGCCCAGAATGGACTTCCGGAAGCGGCATCCACACACAGAACTGGTTGTTCACATATTTGAATCCCACCACTGGTTTGAAGGATATAAGAATATCGAGTAACAGAGATGTAGGTCAGAAAATTCCCTACTTCAAACAGATTAGGTAGTTTCAAAGTTGTATGATAATTGAATTTCAAAAAATTATTCTAAAAAATGGAGAAGTAGAGGCTTCATAACCCCCACCTCCGGCCCGATCAATAGTGCAACTACTTATGAAGTCTTTGAATTGAGAGGAATTTGAGGATTTGCATAATATATATTTTATGTAAAACTTTTTCTTGAAAAGCCATATTTCTCTTTTTAAATGTTTTTCTTTTTCTTATGCCTTTAATTCTTCTGTTATTCTGTGCTCTTTTTCTATGCTTGGATAATGGTGCTTACCAAATAAGAGATTGGGAATGATGCTTATATATTTATGTATAATGAATATAATGAATAACATATTTTGGGGGGAATATCCATAGAAATAATTTTGATCTTTTAGCTTTGTGTTCCTTTCTTGGTTTTAATTTTCAAATTTTCATCTGAAGTTTTAATTAAAATTGAGCCCTTATTTATAATAAATAGGTCTGAAGTAGTGTATTAAATTCCTAATCAATTTGTACCACTATGAGTTTGTTTTCTTTTTTATTTGTTTTCAGGTGATAGCCATTAATTTTTAAAACTGTTAATATTCTTGTTAAAATTAAAAGGCTACAGGTAAGTAGCTGTAGGATTATAGTTTTAATTTGTTTTGTGACATCTATTTATAATGAGTTTCATAAAGGTATATATTTAGAGACTCTGTTGTAAGATAGAAAAAAGACAAAAATCAGTATGCTAATATTCTGGTTATATCCACATTGATAAAAAGTAATCTTTTCAACTCAAATATATCATTGAAATTAATTTAAAACATTAAATTTTTAAATATTTTTCAGCTTGAAGAGAAGACTGACAAACCATATTCTGATTTATATACAAGGGTGAGTTATTGAACAGATTGGTTTTCAAATTATGGGTTTTTCTTAAAAACGTATCAGTACACATGACAATGTGAATCAAAATATATATTTCAGGTCCCCAGCATGTAGAAAGGGTGTATCAGTAGTTGTCTTTATTATTTCACATCTTTACAAATAGAGTAATTTACATTATGATGTATGCAACTAAACCTGTGCAAAATATTTTGCAAAATTAATTAGCATAAATTAAACACCTGCCTGAGAAGCACTAAAGTGGCTTCAACCTTTGCAAAATTTGTGCAGCTTTTTCAGAAGCTGTTCCAATTGTGTAGTTTGCATGCGCATGCACAAGCAGTATTTCTGCTTAGGGGTATGATGAACTAGAGCCAGCTTTCAAAACAACCAGATAAGTTATTGAAATAATGAGTCAATTTTAATACTCAAACAGAATTGTTTCATCTCGGCCAATGTAATTTGTGAAGTATCTCTTCTGAATAATTTGCACAGCTCCATTTACAACTTTCCATTTTTCCTTAAAAATGTAATATAAAAAAGTGGAAGTCAGTCTGAAAAATAATAATAAACCATATAGTGGATTGAATGGAGAAGACATATGTTTAATATTTCCTGATACGATTCAGTAAAATCATTTAACATTACAATAGTCTATATAAGAAAATATTTTTTCCAAAATTATAATATTCTTCTTGGATTGATATATTATTTACATATTTAGCTAAGAAAACTATTAAAATATAAAGGAAATTTAAAACAATTGTCCTCTTTAGCCAGCATCTCGCAATTCAGCAACTCCTTTAAGTGGAAATTCTTCTAGACGAGGAAGCGGAGATACAAGCAGCCTAGTTGATCCTGATACTTCGTTAAGTGAATTGCGGGTGAGCAATTTTTATTGGTTAACAGTAAAAGAAAATTCTTATATATTTCTATCAATCAAATCTTTATTACAATAATAGATTAGCATAAAAAGGATAACTGTATATTTGCAATATGGATGGATGGAAGGAAGGAGAAGAAGAAAGAAAGAAAGAAAGAAAGAAAGAAAGAAAGAAAGAAAGAAAGAAAGAAAGAAAGAAAGAAAGAAAGAAAGAAAGAAAGAAAGAAAATGAGGATTAGATTTGAAACATTTAGATTTTCTCCAGTTTTTTTCTTTATAATCTCTTACTGTAAGAAGAAAGCAGAACATTACTAAAAGTGTAATATAGTTTAGCATAGTTCTAAAATTCTATAGTTCTTGATAATTGTATGTTGTAATGGTTTTAAAATGGGTTGGTTATGTGTCTGACCTGATTTTATAATCTTTTTTCTGCAATCGTTAAGTGAATCCCACGGTTATTAAGTGAACCAGTGGTTCCTGATGGAACCTAGAAATAAGTGCAGAATTTGGCAAAATTGACAAAAAATGAGGTGATATGACCATGGGATGCTTTAAATGGGCATAAAAGTGGCTGTTGCTAAGCAATTGAAGTTCAATCATGTTACTGCAGAAGGGGCTCACCTATCGGAACTTTGAATCTGAGTTGTAGTTCCCTGTTTTGGATTAGTGGCAACTTTGAATGGTTGCTAACCAACCAATCATAAGATGACTACCGGTATATAGAACTCTGCTGTTATAATATTTTAGTTTGCGAATGTCATTATGCATCTTTTCAGATTTGCATTCAAAACAAGAATGTGAACAGTTTATGTCTGAAATTGGTTTTCTCAAAGATTTTGTATTTTAAATGTACTTAAACCTTAAGAAACATAGAGTTAAATTTATATCATCTTCAAGTATCAAGAATATATCATTAATTTAATTTAATCTGTAATTTGTTAGGTAAAACATATATCAAATCACATGATTTTTAAGTCATAGAATTATATAATTAATCTTTATGATGTTCTTATGCAATGGTTCATTCCTATGTCCTGCAGGATATCTATGATCTTAAGGACCAGATACAAGATGTAGAGGGGAGATACATGCAGGGACTTAAAGAACTAAAGGTATTAGGGTTTCTCCCAAGCATGTACTCACTATGGTAATACTTTGGTAATGGCATTTTTACAAATTTCATTAACAGAGCTTTACTAACATACTAATTACTCTTTTTATTAAGTATGTGTCTAACCAGTAAATTGGAGAATGGGTTTTGTACATATAGTTACTAGTATATATTACCTTTTACTTCAATAGTGTCAATGTATATGTGAAAAGCAGTTTGCTGAATATTTTATTTAGCAAATGTTGTATTAATAGTATGTGTTATCAAGTTAATGTCAATTCTTAGTGACCACATAGATAGATTTTATTCATAATGTTCTATTCCTAAATTCATCCTTCACGTCTTCCAATGGTGCATCTATTGCCACTATAACTGTGTCCATCCACCCTGCTCCTATATGTCCTTTTCTTTCCCTCCACCTTTCCCAGCATTAGAGCCTTCTCCAGAGAATTGTCATTGCATAATGTGTCTGAAGTAAGATAATTGGAAGTACTTAATATTGTATAATGTAATTTCCTTTCAATAATTTGAATAATATGACATTGCCAAGTAAAACATTTGTAAGACTAATAATTGGAAAACACTCTGTTAGAGATTGATAGTGAAATTAAAATTAGAATTCTGTTCTGAAGTGAAGTAATAAACCACTAGATAATTTTTAGTAATGCTTTAAGTCACATGGCAAGTGCACAAATGCTTAACACTCTTTGATTCAGATTACTACTCATAAGAAGAGCTCTGCTGGTTTTGACCAAGAACCATCTGATTCTAGTATTTTGTTTCTGAAGTGCTCATAAACAAGAGTTGGAGACATCTTCCTATTAGTGTTGACCTGAAACTAGAATTTGAAACCATGTCCCCTAAATAGGAGCTGATATTAAATCTTCAAGATAAATTGTCATTGAAGTCCTCTGTTTTTCATAAATTTTTCATCTTTACTTAGAAAGCTCTTTTAAAAATCTGATTATATAGATTTTATCCCTCAAAATTGTCACTGTATACGAAAGTTGCCCAAGGTACAGGTGAAACTCGAAAAATTAGAATATCGTGCAAAAGTTCATTTATTTCAGTAATGCAACTTAAAAGGTGAACCTAATATATGAGATAGACTCATTACATGCAAAGCAAGATAGTTCAAGCCGTGATGTGTCATAAGTAGGTGATTATGGCTTACAGCTCATGAAAACCCCAAATCCACAATCTCAGAAAATTAGAATATTGTGAAAAGGTTCAATATTCTAGGCTCGAAGTGTCCCACTCTAATCAGCTAATTAAGCCATAACACCTGCAAAGGGTTCCTGAGCCTTTAAATGGTCTCTCAGTCTGGTTCAGTAGGAATAACAATCATGAGAAAGACTGCTGACCTGACAGTTGTGCAGAAAACCATCATTGACACCCTCCATAAGGAGGGAAAGCCTCAAAAGGTAATTGCAAAAGAAGTTGAATGTTCCCAAAGTGCTGTATCAAAGCACATTAATAGAAAGTTATGTGGAAGGGAAAAGTGTGGAAGAAAAAGGTGCACAAGGAGCAGGGATGACCGCAGCCTGGAGAGGATTGTCAGGAAAAGGCCATTCAAAAGTGTTGGAGGGAGTGGACTGAGGCTGGAGTCAGTGCATCATGAGCCACCACACACAGACGGATCCTGGACATGGGCTTCAAATGTCGTATTCCTCTTGTCAAGCCGCTCCTGAACAACAAACAACGTCAGAAGCGTCTTACCTGGGCTAAAGAAAAACAGAACTGGTCTGTTGCTCAGTGGTCCAAAGTCCTCTTTTCTGATGAGAGCAACTTTTGCATCTCATTTGGGAACCAAGGACC